CGCCTTCTTGCTCGACCTGTCGTGCCACCGGTTCTCGTTCCAGATGTTCCTCATCAAGACATTGTCAGGCCAATTCAGAAAAAAACAGTGCCAGTCGGCACAGTAAAACAGAAAGTGACGCCAAGCCACGCAGTTGACGTTTCTGAAAAAAAAGCTGTTGAAAAATCCGCTGTGTCGATTTTGGCTGTTGATGCGACAAGTAAGGCCGAGCTTGGTCAAAAATTGATGACTGAATACGCGGTCGGGGACAAGTTGCCTTCTGGTGAAACGGTATTGAGTGTTTCGAAAAATGGTGATGTGGTAACCGACATGAGAATAATCAAAAAGGGGCAAAATTAAAATGAAGCAATTGATCAATTGGGTTGGACATTTTTTTACTACGAAAAAAGCGGATGTAAAGGTGCCGGCAAAACCGAAACAAGAAGTGGCCGTCCAATCGGAAAGAAAACCGATGGAATTGGTCACTTTTGGAACAAAAAATAATGATGTGGTTGATCGCGAAAATAATCTCAATCCGGTTTTGATGAAGGTCGGACGGGTTAAGTCGGTGCTGGCCGCCGATATGGTCATTAATGGTGACGTCGAACTCTCCGATTATGGCGTTCGGATTCAAGCGCACATAACCGGGAACGTCACGCAGCGCGGATCGAGCCTGGTCATCATCGACAAGGATTCGGTCGTCGAAGGCGAAATACGTGGTCGATACATCATCGTATTGGGGAAAGTAAAAGGAAAGATTTTCGGTGAGCGAATTGTCGTTGGTGCGACGGCGCTGATCGAAGGTGACGTGATATATAGAAATACCTTTACACCCATTGCCGGCGCAAAAATGCGTGGACAGATCAACCAACAGGATGAAGCGTTATTTTCTGACGAAGTGACGCCTATGCCACAAAATCCGGAAAGAAAACTGGGTGACGATGTGGTCCCGCAAGAGAATTTGATTAAGCCTGTAATTGAGCAAAAACCTGTTCTGGATTTCTCTCATTCATCCGTTTTACCTACGTTTTCCGTAAAACCGGCATTTGCCGGGAAAGCATGACCTGATGTCGCCTCTATCAAATTATTAAATTGACGGTGTGTGACTGGACGCTTCCAGTCACCTATTGATGGCGTTTTTCCAGTATTTGCGCTATTGAGGAAAAGGCTGGGTCGTTCACCACAATTGCGGAACCCATCGTCTTTGCAAGCCCTTCGCGCATAGCAGCGATACTCTCATCAATAATGGGATGAGATTTGTCTTTGGGGGCAGTGACTCTTTCCAGGAGTTGCTGCTTGTATTCGTTCCATTCCATGCAGGGCAGTTGTATTTTTTTTGCGAGGA